TGAAGATACAGAGGAGCTGGACTGAGTGTCTCTACAGGAACTCTACAGCTCTGATGATGATGAAGGAGTGTTAGTATGAAGATACAGAGGAGCTGGACTGAGTGTCTCGACAGTTATTCTACAGCTCTGATGATGATGAAGGAGCGTTAATGTGCAGATACAGCTGAGCCAGGCTGTTGTAGTGTGATGTGTGAAATTGTGAAGATGGGTTTACTGAGAGATCTTTAACAGTGATCTGCAGTAGAGGGGATCACAGTTTGACATCTCTGTACAATTTTAGTTTCAGTCTTCATCTCTGTCAAAACCTGCACTTGTCTGTCCCTCTCTCTGCTCCAGTGTCTGTGTGTTCTCCCTGTGTGTGCCTCTAGGGCTGCTGTCTTGCCGGGCTGTGATGGAGCTGTGTCTCTCTCTATCCCTGACTTTTCTGTTTTGCTCTTTTGCAGTCCAACGATTTGCCCCGATGAAGAGAGATGGTAAGTCATGACTTCTGTTTAGGCATACCCGTATATACACTGGTGAATACTGTGTTACTGAAACACAGCACAGAAGCCTAACTTACATCCTGTGGATCTCAGATGTCTTTGTCTTAGTTCTTTGAAATCTGAGCTAAACATACGTCACTTTCATTCAGGCGCCAAGCTAGATGTCCCCAGGCAGTCCTAGGACCCCAGCATGACATCACTACTTGTATGAAGACAAAGGGCTCTTACACTGGGGTCCTTCAATGAAAGACTGTCTGAATAGGAGCCCTGTGTCCTGTAAATGCACTGGTTCATTAATGTGCTGGTGTTGTGTGTAAAAAGATCCCCAGGGACAGCTGGGATATGTTTGTTCCAGCAATGAGGTCATCCTTTTCTCCGACATCATGTTCCCTGTCTCTCTCTCTCTCTGGGTGTCCCTCCCTCTGCCCCTCTGCAGCACGGCCATGTTTACTGCTGTTGTCTCCTACATGAAGCACCTGGGTGTCAGGACCAAGTCCTCCGACAGCAAGAAATCCCGACTCTTCTTCAAGAAGAAGGTCAGAGCCGGATCTGTGATCCAGTGCAGCTGTCGCCCCTGACTGACACTCTGACACACTGTTAATTCTCACATGCTGACACATGTGAGACACACTGTGAGACACACTGTGAGACACACTGTGAGACACACTGTGAGACACACTGTGAGACACACTGTGAGACGCTCAGAGGCACACTGTGAGGCACACTGTGAGGCACACTGTGAGGCACACTGTGAGGCACACTGTGAGACGCTCAGAGGCACACTGTGAGACGCTCTGAGACACACTGTGAGACGCTCTGAGACACACTGTGGGACACACTGTGGGACACACTGTGAGGCACACTGTGAGGCACACTGTGAGACGCTCGGAGACACGCAGACAGCCAGGTGAAGTGATGCCCTCCATCTCTCCCCCAGCCGAAGAAGCCTGACGAGCCCTCCTCGAAGCACAAGATCCTGTCCAACCTCCTGAGGGAGACGTCGAGCTGGATCGGGGGAGGCAGTACGTATCGCCAGCGGCCACAGGGCCGGGCCAAGTCACAGACTGCAGCCCTGCTGCTCCTGCTGGTGCTGTTCACATTGACAACTGGATCTTTCAAAACACCCACAATCTCTTGCCCTGTCTGCTTTCTTGTTGCAGATGTTGAAAGCAGACCGTCTAAAACGGACAGTGAAGGTACCTTAGATCCCCCCCCCCGTATTCATGACATGGTCCCTTCCCCACTAATCTAAACCCTCTGCATGCTGGCATGTACCAATCGGAAAGGGTGGGGAGTGGGGCGAGTGGTGCATGGGGCTGATCGTCGCTGTCTGTTTCCTGTTCTCGTTTTCGGGTCGTGTTCCTCCTCCTGCCACAGTGCGTCCTCGTCCCCTCATCTGTCCTCGATCAACACTAAATACAGGCTGGCTGAGGCCTAGAGCTGCTTGACTGTAACTTTACTACAGCAAAGAGAGACAGAGAGACACAGGACTGTCCTACTGTCCTGTAGACAGACAGAGAGACAGACAGGACTGCCCTATAGATAGACAGGACTGTCCTACTGTCCTGTAGACAGAGAGAGACAGACAGACTGGACTATCCCACAGACAGGCAGAAAGACAGGACTATCTTGCAGACAGATCGAGAGACAGACAGGACTGTCCTGTAGGAGACAGACGGAGAGAGACAGAAAGGACTGTCCTGCAGACAGAGACAGACAGAGGTCCAGTGTCCCCTGAGAGTGGCCTGTGCTCATGGCTGTGCTGTGGAAGGAGTCTGCCCCCACCCCTGTCCCTGACTAACCCATCTCTTCATCAGACACCCAGGCCTCCTCCCATCACCCCCTGCCTGCTCTCTCCTCTCTGTCCGAACGACGCAGCGACTGCAGCACCGCGGGGTGTGCCCACACTCGGCCATCGCCTGCCATTCTCACGAGCAGCTGCCTCTCTGTCCTCAGGCGACAAGACGTCCCACAAGTCTAACGGCCGACCCTCTGCTGACCCCCCCACCTCTTCCACCCGGAAACCTGGGAGCTGCAGCCTGACTGTGGTGCCCGATACAAGCGAGGGGTCACAGGTCACCATCAGCGTGACCAACAGTCCAGACTCCACCCACAGCGACACCGGTTAGAACTGGAACCAGTCAGTGTGTCTGTATTAACCCCTCTCTCTCTCAGTGCAGTGTTCATGTACTGGAGTGTCCAGTCAGTGTGTCTGTATTAACCCCTCTCTCTCTCAGCTGCCTCCAGTGGACGCTCTGACTCCCAGTCTCTCAGCGACAGTGCAGACCAGTCCCCAGGGGCGAGGGGGGGCTCTTGTGCTCCAGATGCACCCCCTCCCTGCGACACCCCGTCTGAGGAGAGTGCTGAAACAGAGAAGTGAGTGGGCAGGCAGGCAGTGAGTGAGTGACAGACAGGTGCACAGGTAGAAAGACCCCCGAGTGTTTGTGGGTGCCCTGGGGGGGTGTGGCTTGTCCCCTTGTGTGGTGGAGAGGGTCCCAGGTTCTCTGGCTGCAGGGACCCCCAGTCTGTGGTGGCTGGGAAGGGGGGCGGAGGGGGATCCCGCTGTGCGCCCGCTGCCCTTGTCGCTGCCGCCGCCGCTGCTGCTGCTGCCGCCGTCGCCGTGGACACCCGGAGGAGGATCCCACTGTTCTGGGCCCGCCCACTTCTCTCTAAACCCCGCCCCCTCCCGCCTCCCCTCCCCCCTCCCTCCCTCTCTCTCTCTCGCCTGTCTGTCTGTCTCTCTCTCTCTGTTAGTAGGTGCTTAGATCACGATGTACTTAGATACTGGCCACAACATCCAAGTACTGCATTTAGCACTTCACAAATACTGTATGTGCTGTATGTCTTTGTGTGGCTAACTTGCCCGTGTTCGGTTAATATGCAGTTACACCAGGAGGACAGCTGGTCCAGTGGTTCAGGTCCAGTCCTGTTACACCAGGAGGACAGCTGGTCCAGTGGTTCAGGTCCA